TGGCAGCGTCTGTGCCCGCGGGCTGCTCTCTGTGGAAAATGGTGGAGCCTGCTGCCGCCCCAGGAGACAGAGACACCGGCTCCCTGGCTGTGGCGCCAGAAACCCGGAACCACTGCCGGGCTTGCCAGAGTAGGATGGGAATCCAGGAGATGGGGAGACAAGGCCACTGGATGCTGGGGGGTGGGGACTTGATGGTGATGGAGGAGGTAGGGGCAAGGGCTGAGCCCTTTCTCCTATTTCCCCTCGGGAGGGGACCCTGTGAGGTCACAGCTCTCCTGATGCACCTTCCCCTCTTCCCAGGTGACTTCTATTTCTATCTGGTTCTCGTCTGGGGGGGCCCTAGCCGGGCAGCCCCCCCACATCCTTCCTGCCCTGAAACACGGCTCTAGCCAACTTGCTCCGCTGCTTCACCTGCGACCGTCTGTGTGGGGGCTGCACGGCGCCAGCCCCTCCTGCCCGCCAGGGCATTGTCCTCCAGCCAGTCATGCCCAGCTGTGACCCTGGCCCGGGCCCCACCTGCCTCCCTACCAAGACTTTCCGCAGCTACCTGCCCCGCTGCCACCGAACTTACAGCTGTGTGCACTGCCGTGCACACTTGGCCAAACACGATGAGCTTATTTCCAAGGTATGCTGGGGGGGAGAACCTGCCACTCACCTCCTTTCTCCCAAGCATGACAGGGGTGGGGGGATGCAGCAAAGTCCCTCCTCTCTCCCCCATGCCCCTGCGGGGACCCAGGCAGGGCAGCTGAGGACTTCCTGGCAGTCACTGTCTGTCTTGTGTCTCCACAGTCCTTCCAAGGGAGCCATGGCCGAGCCTACCTGTTTAACTCTGTGTAAGTCTACCTTTTTCCTTGTGCATGTGCCTGTGTGTATGTATGTGAATACTCTTCCTCTGGCAAAGAGGTTCAGAAAATCAATCTGCTGTTCTCTTGTGGGGAGTCTGGGCAGAACTGAAATCATAGCGTTGGAAAAAGAAGGCCCAGACACTAGCTATAAAGGGGTGGACTGCCAAAGGCACGGGCTGACAGTTCTCTCCAGATGGATGTTCCTTTGGGATGTTTGGGGGCTGGACTGACAGAGTGACCCCACTGGGTCCTGGGTCCTTCCTGTTTCCCGAGACAGGGTCAACGTGGGTTGCGGCCCAGCAGAACAGCGTCTCCTGCTCACGGGCCTCCACTCGGTAGCCGACATTTTCTGCGAGAGCTGCAAAACCACACTGGGCTGGAAATATGTAAGTATCGGAAGAGGGTCACCCTCTTCCGTGGACAACC